ATTTTCTTTGTGCTGAGTCCCTGGACTATTTCCAGGTGGTATTAGTATGTATAATCTGAGAATTCTAGTGTCTTTTAAAATTTATCTTTTAAAGTGACTACCATTTTTCAGTCTCATCAACAATGAATGAGAATTCCTGTTGCTTCACATCTCTCCAGTGTTTGCTGTTATCAGTGTTCTGGATTTTGACCATTCCAAGAAGGGCAACCAATAATTTTTGTTTTAACCTTAGTAAGATCATGTTATTCCCTTATTTAGAACCTTCACATCCTACTTCATTTCCCATCCTACTTAGAATAAAATCCCGTTATTTCCAACTGTATGAGGGGAAGGCTTTGTATGATCTGGTCCTTGGCCACCTCTTTAAACTAGTTTTATCATTTTCTCTCTTTTTCATTGCAGTTCAGAAATGTTGGTCACCCTAGTGTTCTTTGAACATGCCAACCTTCTGCTTCAGGGCCTTTGCAGTTGGTCTTGCCTTTCCTGGAATGTTTCACATCTAGATACCTTGAGGGCTTACTCCTGTATTTCACTGAGGACTCCGCTTAAGTATAACCTTGTCAGAGATGCTTCTCTGATTTTCCTGCCAAAAAATAGCACTTCTGTGCTTCTTCCTATACCCTGCTTTATTTTTCTTCTACTGCTACCTCATAATATATATGTGTATGTTTGTTTATAATAATACATATAAATTATGTATACACATGTATGTAGCCTATCTTTATGAGAATGTATGTGTGCTTCATGAAGGGATATTTCTGTATACCTCTAGAGTAGAACCTGGTACACACATGGTGTTTAATAAATATCTGTTGAGTGAATGATTGTATTACATCAAAAAATGCTTTAATGTTGGTGATTTAGAATATTATGGTAGGATATAATCAGATACATAAGGAAGGCTTAAAACTTAATAATTAATAATTAAATAAAACCTTAATTTCACAACATGTAATATGCAAGACTAGGGATTTTTTCTTCCTTGCTATATTCCCATGCCTAGAATGTTTCCTAGCAGTAATACACATTTGATTAAGTATTTGCTGAATGAATGAGTTTATGTAGCATGTCTTTTAAATAAACTACCAAATTATGCTATATGTAAAAGCAATGTTGAATAGAACTAAAAGCAGACCACAAAACTCCCGAATTGGGAGAAGGGGACGGGGATGAGCGATAGTACTACCTTGATTTAAATTTTTGGATCCAGCTTCACCATTTGCCAACGACTCCAAGCCAGCACCGTTGCTTGTCAAGACTACTCTAATACTGCACCATTTGTTCTTCAGTTCCGCATGTGTCATGTTTCATTCTCTATGTTTAAAATTTAAAAGTATTTCAGGATACTTACTGTACCTAAAATAAAACTGAGATTCTTTCTTTAACTTGGAGACCTGACGTGGCCTTTTTACCTCTTAATCTCATTTAATTCTTCCCTCTTGCTCAACATCCTTCAGCTTTTCCTTCTGTTTCTGTAGGCCACCAAGTTCTCTGCTTCATTTATACACTCAGTGCTGACTTTCTGCCCATTATAACCTTTCTTTCACTATGTCATTGAAGCACCTTCTTTGTGTTATTTAAGTCTGAGTGTGTTGTATCTTGTGAGCAGTCTTCCTTGAAAACCTTATCTACCCCTGCTCATGTTAGAATTGCTTTTGATATTTGCGTGGGGTGGGGAAGAACAAAACCACAGTTTGTAATTATGTATAGTGTTAGTCGCTCAGGTGCGTCCGACTCTTCGTGACCCCAGGAGCCGTAGCTCGCCAGTCTCCTCTGTCCCTGGGATCCTCCAGGCAAGAATACTGGAGTGGGTTGCCATTCCTGTCTCCATTGTTATGTATATGGCTGACTTTTCTTTTTGCTGTTTACCCTTGTGTTCTTGGGCTTCCCTCATGCCTCAGACCATAAAGCGGTAAAGCGTCTGCCTGTGGGTGACCCGGGTTCGATCCCTGGGTTGGGAAGATCCCCTGGAGAAGGAAACAGCAACCCACTCCAGTATTCTTGCCTCGAGAATCCCATGGACAGAGGAGCCTGGTAGGTTACAGTCCATGGGGTCACAAAGGTCGGACACGACTGAGCGACTTCACTTCACATTGTGTTCTTAATGTTAAGTATGGTACTCGGCATATAATAGGTGCTCAGTAAATTTTTTTTTCAGTAACTATTTAATATGTGAATAACTGTATAGCAAAAGATGGAATGTAAAAATGAGCATGAAAGGAAAAAAGACCCCAAAACTAGAAAAAAGATCGTATGTGCTTATTAAAACAACAGAAATCCATGACATAAGCTCAGCTGTTAAGCAAGACTCTGATAAATCACAAAACCCAACTACATGCTTGATGTTAGAAACATTTAGAACAAAATTTCTAAGGGAGTTGTGGGTAAATGTATAATCAAAACAAGATACTAGGCAAATAAAAACAAAATTAATTGTTGAATGATATTGCTAGACAAAGGTGAATTAAAAGTGAATGAACATTAGGTGGAAAAAGATGCATGTTGTAGTATGTATATACATACATACCTATCTTATCTATCTCTATATGTACACACACACATATATATAAAATCAAGCATATAGTTACTAATATGAAGAGAACCACAAATCTTTATTTTTTGAAGGTGAAGCATTGAAATGTTTAAAGTAAAAATTATAAATTCAAGAAGGAAGAGAAAGAAGTCTAACAGTAACAGAAGACTTTAAAACATCTTTCAGTTCTAACCATGTCAGAGAAAATAAAAATAGGATATGGAGATCTGAATTATGTAATTAATAAATTTCATATAATGTACTTTGTTATTATAAAAAGAAGAGCATATTTTTAATTCCCCATGAGACATTGTGAAAATAAATACTAGAAAGAAAGTTGGGGGGAGAAGGTATTAACTACATGCTCTACAATGAAATTTTAAGTTAATGGAGAAGTTAGAATCAGAAACCAACCACAAAATCTTCCCAACCTCAAAACAAAAACCTCAGCTAATTGAGATTAAAAATGTAAAAACATTCTCCTAAAAAATTTTAGATCAAAGGTCTAAAGGTACCGCAAACCAGCAGTTGTGGTCTCTCTAGAAAATAATTACAATAAAAATTAAATACTAGGACTTCCCTGGCAGTTTAGCGGTTAAGACTCTACTCCCAATGCGGGGGGCACAGGTTCAATCCCTAGTTAAGGAACAAAGATCCCACATACCACGTGGTATGGCTTAAAAAAATAAACTACATAAATTTATTTTTAAAAATTAAATATATAAATATAGGACATAGGTAAAATTATTTGTAAAAGTTTCATTACTAAATGAAAATAAACAAGTTAACATTTAAAGAATTTATTAAAAGAGCAATAGCACAAACCTAAGGAAAGTGGAAAAAAATAATAAAGCACAACATAGCAAGTAATAAATGAGAAAACAGAACAGGTAGTTAAGATAAATACAACCAAGAACTGGTTCTTTGATTAACACAAAAATAAGACTAGCTAACTTTTTTTCTTGTAAACAGAAGGATAAAGTACAAAAATTAAAATTTAGATTATGAAGAAGAAAACAAGCATAGATGTAAATAATACAAACATAAGAGGATGGTTGGCACAATAAATAAGTTAGAAAGCATTGGGAAAACATCATTTTCTAGGAAAATATACATTATTCTATACTCAAAACTGATCCAAGAAGAGACTGAAAACCTAAACCTACCAAGCCCAAATGGTTTTACAAGTGGTTTCTTTCAAGCCTTCATGGAGCAGATAATTTCACATATATTTAAATTGACCTAGAGAAAATAAGGAAGAATTGAGGCTTTCCTATTATTTTTATTTTTTTCCCTATTATTAAAAAAAAAACTTCAGCATAAGTCTTTCCAATAAATATTCAGGACTGATTTTCTTTAGGATTGACTTGTTTGATCTTGTAGTCCAGGGGATTCTCAAGAATCTTCTCCAGTACCACAGTTTGAAAGCATCAGTTCTTTGGTGCTCAGCCTTTTTTATGGTCCAGCTCTCTCTTTTATGGTCTCATCTCTCTGTACATGCCTACTGGAAAAATCATAACTTTGACTATATGGGACCTTTGTCAGCAAAGTAATGTCTCTGCCTTTTAATACACTGTCTAGATTTTTCCACTGCTTTCCTTCCAAGGAGGAAACGTCTTTTAATTTTGAGCCTCAGTCACCATCCACAGTGATTTTGGAGTCCAAGAAAATAAAATCTATCACTGTTTCCACTTTCCTCTCTTCTATTTGTCATAAAGTGATGGGACCGGATACCATGATCTTCGATTTTTTAGTGTTGAGTTTCAAGCCAGCTCGTTCACCTTCGTCAGTAAGGTCTTTAATTTCTCTTCACTTTCTGCCATAAGGGTGATGTCATTTGCATATCTGAGGTTGTTCATATTTCTCTCGGCTATCTTGATTCCAGATTATGTTTCATCCAGCCTGGCATTTCACATGATGTTACTCTGCATAGAAGTTAAATAAACAGGGTGAAAATATATAGCCTTGTACTCCTTTCTCAGTTTTGAACCAGTCAGTTGTTCCATGTCCAATTCTAACTGTTGAAGCAAAAGGCAAGGGAGAAAGGGAAAGGTATACCCAACTGAGTGGAGATTTCCAGAGAACAGAAAGAGCGATAAGAAAGCCTTCTTCAGTGAACAATGAAAAGAAATAGAGAAAAACAATAGAATAGGAAAAACTAGAGATCCCTTCAAGAAAATTGGAAATATCAAGGGAACATTTCATGCAAGAATGGGTATGATAAAAGACAGAATTGACAAGGACCTGACAGACAGAAGAGGTGGTAAGAATACACAGAAGAACTATACAAGAAAGGTTTTAATGATGCGGATAACCACGATGGTGTGGTCACTTACCTAGAACCGGACATCCTATAGTGTAAAGTTAAGTGGGGCTTAGGAAGCATTATTGTGAACAAAACTAGGGGAGGTTATGGAATTCCAGCAGAGCTATTTAAAATCCTGAAACATAATGCTGTTAAAGTGCTTCACGCAATATGCCAGCAAATTTGCAAAACTCAGCAGTCGCCACAGGACTGGAAAATGTCAGTATTCATGACAGTGTCATACAGTTAACACCCATTTCACGTACTACCAAGGTTGTGCTCAAAATCCTTCAATCTATCATTAAGTAGTATGTGAACTGAGAACTTCCAGATAATTCAGTGTATTAGTAGATAAAAGAAGAAAAGCTATGTGATTATCTCAATAGATCTTGAACTACAGTTAATAAAGTCAGACATGTATGCCTGGAAGCAGTCTTTAGTAATAACATAATTAAACTATGTACCTCAAAATCATACTCAGGAAAGTGCTTCAGGGAGATATATTAGAAATTAAGTGATATTAATGTTAGAAACAAGGCAAGGAAATTCTCATCACTATTATTTAACTTTGTTCTAGATGTGCTAACAGTTAAAGAAATTAGAGAAGCATGGTATTGAAGTAATCCTCAAACACTTTGGATAACATTCAAGTGCTTTGTTCTGGAGCTATCCACCTTGTTAAACTTTCAGCCACATTCAGTTATTTCCACAAATGCAGTCTCACAGTGTTTTTGGTTAGCTTATTTTAGTGGTTTTGCCATTAAAAAAATCTCAAAAAATTTTGTTTGGAGCTCTAATGAGTAAAGTGAAAGCAGAGCTACTTTTGTTGCAGAGGGATTAGGGAGCATTGTAGTCGCCTCTTTGTCATCCATGACTCCTCCATTAGCTTCTGGGAATGCTGTGTGCAACTGTAAGATTTACAACCCTATTCTGCTTCATGGAATTTTTTTTTGTGTCACAGTTAATAGTGATATAAAACAATCTTTGTATAAAACATGACCAATTTGATAAGATCATCTTATTCTTGGCAATTTTCAGTCCTTCTTTGGTTATGGTAGATATTAAATTAGAAGCAGCTTGGGGCTTGGAGTTGTGATTGAGATGACTAAGGTTGCCCAAAGCAGTTATACAGAGAAGTGGTAACTGATGCCAAGATGGGGCACAATAAAAACACCAACTAGAATGAGGCAGCATTCTGGAACTGCCATTTCAGATGAAGGTAGATATTCCAGAGCATCTTAATGGCTCCAGAATACCATGCTGCATGGAGTTCTAAAAGATGGTTCTCAGTAGAAAAGACAGCACAGCCTTGTGCCGTGTGGGAAGTATGGGCTGTGTAAAGACAGATGCTACATGATGTGGAATATATGTGGAATCTAAAAAAGTTGAACTCATCACAGCAGGGTGAATGGTTGCTTCCAGGGGCTGAGGATGAAAGAAATGGGAAAAGGTAAAATGGTACAAAGTATCAGTTATGCAGAATGAGTAAATTCTGGGAAATCGAATGAATTAGTCCTTGTGTTCAGTTCAGTTCAGTCAGTTCAGTCGCTCAGTTGTGTCTGACTCTTTGCAACCCCATGGACTGCAGCATGCTGGACCTCCCTGTTCATCAACAGCTCCAAGAGCCTACTCAAACTCATGCCCATTAAGCCAGTGATGCCATCCACCCATCTCATCCTCTGTCGTCCCCTTCTTCTTCTACCTTCAGTCTTTCCCAGCATCAGAGTCTTTTCAAATGAGTTGGTCCTTTGCATCAGGTGGCCAAAGTATTGGAGTTTCAGCTTTAGCATCAGTCCTTCCAGTGAATATTCAGGACTGACTTCCTTTAGGATGGACTGGTTGGATCTCCTTGCAGTCCAAGGGACTCTCAAGAATCTTCTGTAACATCACAGTTCAAAAGCATCAATTCTTCAGTGCTCANCACTTTCACAGCATCATCCTTTAGTATTTGAAATAGTTCAACTGGGATTCCGTCACCTCCACTAGCTTTGTTCATAGTGATGCTTCCTAAGGCCCACTTGACTTCACATTCCAGGATGTCTGGCTCTAGGTGAGTGATCACACTGTCATGACTACCTGGGTTGAGAAAATCTTTTTTGTATAATTCTTCTGGGTATTCTTGCCAACTCTTCTTAATATCTTCTGATTCTGTTAGGTCCATACCATTTCTGTTCTTTTTTGGGGTTTTTAATTGAAGTGTAATTAACATACAAGAACACACAAGGTCCTAAATGTTCAATTTGATTACATTTAGCTTCAAATATTAATGTGATAACTTAGTAAAATCTATGTTAAGAAAGCTCTTTAATAAAAGTTAGTTATTTTTGAAAACTGAGTTGATTTGTAGTCACTGTTGATCTGTATTAACTTAGTGTCAATGTTCCTTCATAAATTTTACTTATTTATGGCCTTGAGTACCAAAAATTTCTGTATATAACTTCCATTTATTAGTACATATTACATGTTAACTACTATTACATGTTAGCTAACTATTACATGTTAACTAACTACTTAACTATTTAACTTTATAACTAACATATTACATGTTAGGGCTTCCCAGGTGGCTCAGATGGTAAAGTGTCTACCTGCAATGTGGGAGACCCAGGTTCGATCCCTGGGTTGGGAAGATCCCCTGGAGAGGGAAATGGCAACCCACTCTAGTACTCTTGCCTGGAAAATTCTGTGGATGGAGTAGCCTGGGAGGCTACAGTCCATGGGGCTGCAAAGCTTCGGACACGACTGAGCGCCTCCACTTTTCTTTCTTTCTTTCTTTCACATGTTAGCTGGTATAATCTTGTGTACGATTATTGAAGTTTGTCTTCTCATATTTCTTTTTTTATCTTATTTGGCTTAATATACTTCTGTTCTTCCTTATACTTTTACCAGAAAGAGAAGATCTGCCGCTGTCATGTAGGCCTGCTAGTAGATCACTTCTTCTTGTTTAGTTGCTGCTGCTGCTGCTAAGTCACTTCAGTCGTGGCCGACTCTATGTGACCCTATGGACAGCAGCCCACCAGGCTCCTCTGTACACAGGATTCTCTAGGCAAGAATACTGTAGTGGGTTGCCATTTCCTTCTCCCATGTTTAGTTGCTAGGTCGTGTCCAGCTGTTTTGTGACCCCATGAACTGTAGCCCTTCACGTACCTCTGTCCATGGAATTTCCCAGGTAAGAATACTAAAGTGGATAGCCATTTCCTCCTCCAAGGTATCTTTACAACCCAGGGATCCAGCCATTGTCTCCTGTGTTGGCAGGCAGATTCTTTACCACTGAGCCACCAGGGAAGCCCCATAGATTATTTGTATGTGTTTATAAATTTGTTATTTCAACCATAACGTTTGTGTTTTGCTCTGTATCCTAAAGTAAGTTTTGGCAAGTGAATAAGATGGGGAACTATGGGATGAAAGGGAAAATTACAACTATTTCCTCAGCTGATCTGGAAAATAAATTTAACTTAATTCTCTTAGGATCATTAGAGATAGAGAATCCTGAACTGTTGCCTTATTGTGTTTGGAAAGAGAAGCTGAGGTTTTACTTGTGTTTGGCTGAGAAATGCTGAGAGTAGAGGACATCTGTTTTTCCTAAATTAGGACTCTGTTCATCACTAGAAATCTCTCTGGTAGTCTTTTCCTCCCCTCTTTTACTTTAGGTAAGCCTCTTTTTTGTTGCATGTTTCTTTATATTTGATGTCCTCAAACCCTAAATTCCCCTTTTCAGTTATTTTGAAGTATATCATTATATCCATTCATTCTAAATTAATTTAACTCAGTTCTGTACAACTTCCAGTGATCACACAGAACTGTTTGGTAATATACCTTAGCTGGAAAAAAGTGAAAGTGTTAGTTGCTCTGTTGTGTCTGACTGACTGTTCACGAACCCATGGATGTAGCCTGCCAGGCGTCCATGTCCATCATCAATGCCCGGAGCTTGCTCAAACTCATGTTCATTGAATGGATGATGCCATCCAACCATCTCGTCCTCTGTTGTCCCTTATCCTCTAGCCTTCAGTCGTCCCCAGCATCAGGGTCTTTTCTAATGAGTCCATTCTTCACACCAGGTGGCCAAAGTATTGGAGATTCAGCTTCAGCACAGTTCTTGCAACGAACATTCAGGACTGATTTCCTTTAGGATTGACTGGTTTAATCTTCTTGCTGTCCAAGGAACTCTGAGGAGTCTTGTGCAGCGCCGCAGTTCAAAAGCATCAATTCTTTGGCGCTCAGCTTTCTTAATGGTCCGACTCTCACATCCATACATAACTACTGGAAAAACCATA